ATTCTAGATGTAGAATAGCCAAAACGATTTCAAAAAGTAGAAATAATGTTAAAGAATTCAAACCACCCAATTTCAAGACTTACTTGAAAGCTACAGTAATCAAGAGAGTGTGGAGCTGGGTGCTGTGCCTTGCACCTGTAATCCCAGCTACTTTAGAAGGCTGAGGCAGGAGGACCACTTGATCTTGAGAGTTCAAGGCTGCAATGAGTAAGCTGATTGTGCCACTACACTCCAACCTGGGCAACAGAGCAATGCCCTGTCTCTAAAAATACAGTGTGGTGTTGGCAAAAAGATAGACATGTAGATCAATGACACAGAACAGAGGCTAGAAATAGACCCACGCAAATAGAGTCAGCTGATTTTTGAACAAACGTGCAAAGGCAATTCAATGGAGAAAAAATGGTCATTTCAACAAATGGTTCTAAAGTAATGAATCTCAACCCACACCTCACACCTTATACAAAAATTAACTCAACACTCCTAGATATATACCCAAGGTAATTAAAAACATATATGTACTCAAAAACATGTGTATCATGATAGAAGTATCATTCATAATAGTCAAAAAGTGAAAACAACCCAAATGTCCATTAAATGATGAATGAATAAGTAAAATGGGTATATTCATACAATGAAATATTATTCAGCCCTAAAAAGTCATTAAGTACTGATGCATGCTACATAATAGATGAACCTTGAAAATATTATGCTAAGTGAAAGAATCTACAGAGACAAAAAAAAAAAAAAGTTGCTTAGGGCTGAGGGGAGGAGGAAATAGGAATCCCAGCAAATGAGCATGGGAATAAAATACCCTAGAATTAGACAGTGGTGATTGTTGCACAACTTTATGAATATACTAAAGACCAATAAATTATGTAATTTAAGGGGTGAATATTATGGTATGTGAATTATATCTCAATAAAACAAATATATATACATATATAATTAATTCAAGATGGATCATAGGCTGGATGCAGTGGCTTATGCCTGTAATCCCAACAATTTAGGAGGCTGAAGTAGGAGAATCACTTGAGGCCAGGAGTTTGAGACCAGGCTGGGCAACAAAGCCAGACCCTGTCTCTAAAAAAATAAACAATTAGCCAGATGTGGTGGTGTGTGCCTGGAGTCCAGTCACCTTGAGGCTGAGGTGGGAAGATCCTTTGAGCCCAGGAACTTGAGACTGAAGTGAGTGATGACCACACTTCTGCATTCCAGCCTGGTTGCCTGGGTGATAGAGCGAGACCCTGTCTCAAAAAAAAAAAAAAGGATCATAAACCTAAAAGTACGATGTACTTCTAGAAGAAATACAGGAGAAAATCATGACCCTAAGTATGATCCAAAAAAGCATTATCCATAAAAGAAAAAAATGACAATTTTAACTTTACTACAATTTAAAACTTTTGCTTTGCAAATGATACTTTTAAGAGAATGCAAAAGCAAACCATAGATTACAAGAAAATATTTGCAAATCATACTTCTGACAAAGACTTATATATAAAATATATAAAGAATGCTCAAAATTCAAAAATAAGAAAACAAGCAATCCAATTTTTTAAATGGCAAAAATTCTGAACACACACTTCACCAAAGAAGATATATGTATGGCTAACAAGCACATGAAAAAATGCTCAACACAATCAGTCATTAGGGACATGCAAAGTAAAACCACCATGAGATACTTAGAAAAAAAAAAAACACCTGACAATATCAAGTACTACCAAAGTGTGGAGCAATTGTAAACTTCAAATATTGCTGGTGGAAATGCAAAATGGTACAGCCACTTTGGAAAACAATTTGGCAGTTTCTTAAAAATTAAACATATGGCCAAGGCAGGTGGATCACCTGAGGTCAGGAGTTCAAGACCAGCCTGGCCAATATGGTGAAACCCCATCTCTACTAAAAATACAAAAAGTAGCTGGGCGTGGTGGCGGACACCTGTAATCCCAACTACTCAGGAAGCTGAGGCAAGGGAATCGCTTGAACCCAGGAGGCAGAGGTTGCAGTGAGCCAAATTTACACCATTGCACTCCAGCCGGGGCAATAAAAGCAAGATTCCATCTTTAAAAAAAAAAAAAATTAAACATACACATACAATACAAACTCAAAATCCCACTTCTAGGTATTTGCCCAAGAGAAATGAAAACCTATGTCTATAAAAATAAATGTTTATAAGAGCTTTATTTATAGATACCAAAAACTGGGAGTAACCCACAGGTCTTTCAGCAGGCAAATGAATAAACATTATATAGTGCAACAATACAATTAAACACTGCTCAGCAACAAAAGAAACAAACTTTCATTCTCATCTGGGTAGACTGTTGCAGTAAGAATAATTTTAAAAAAAAGAAACAAACTATTAATTCATACAACATGTATGATGAATCTTAAATACATTTTGCTATGTGAAAAGACTCAGAGCCAGAAGGCTACACAGGAAAACAGATATATCCACGGGTTATAGTTGGAGAGAAGTTGACTGCAAGGGGAAAACACAGAACAAGGGAATTTTGGAGTAATAGATTGTTCTAAATCAAGACTGGTGGTGGAGATACAATTCTGTGCATTTCACAAAACCTGTAGAAGAGTATACAACAAAGAATAAAATTTACTGTATGCAAATTTTTAAAAATTGACCAGGACGTGGGGAAAACTCAAAATGAAATACAAACTATAACAACAACAACAAAAAAAAATGGCTAGGTGCGGTGGCTTACACCTGTAATCCCAGCACTTTGGAAGGCCGAGGTGGGTGGATCACAGGTCAGGAGTTCGGGACCAGGCTGGCCAATATGGTGAAATCCCATTCTACAAAAAACACAAAAATTAGCCAGGCATGGTGGCAGGTGCCTATAGCCCCAGCTACTTGGGAGGCTGAGGCAGGAGTATCACTTGAACCTGGGAGGCAGACGTTGCAGTGAGCCAAGATTGCGCCACTAGGCTCCTGCCTGGGCAACAAAGTGAGACTCCATCTCAAAAAAAAAAAAAATTAGATATTGGTTGGTTAGTTGGTTGGTTTTCAGACAGGGTCTCACTCTGTTGCCCAGGTTACAGTGCAATGACATGATCATGGCTCACTTCAGTCTCAAACACCTGGGCTCAAGCAAGCCTCCTGCCTCAACCTGCAGAGTAGTTGAGACTACAGGTATGCATCACCATGCTCAGCTAATTTTTTATTTTTAATTTATTTTTTTATAGAGATGTGGGTCTCACCACGTTGCCCAGGCTGGTCTCCAACTCCTGGCCTCAAGCGATCCTACCACCTCAGCCTCCTAAAGTGCTGATATTGTAAGCATTGAGTGACACTGCCTGGCCAAAAATTAAACATTGTTTCCATAGAAAAATTATATCATGTGTGGCTTAAAATATATGCATAATATACCTGAAAACAATAGCATAAAAAATCGGCAGTAGTAAATAAAGCTAAAGTATTATAAGGTGCTTGCATAGAATGAGAAGTGGTAAAAGTACTATTTCCTATTGGGCTTTAATAAATCAAAGATGTATATTGACTGCTACAGGGCAACTACTAAAATAATAGTAAGAGAATGTATATTAAGAAAATAGGAGAACAATAAGAAAAATACTTGTTATGAGTTATACAAATTTCTGTAGCCTCCTTAAATTCCTGCCTGAAAATGGGATTTTCTTTTCAGCCACATGGCCAGGCTTCAAATTTTCCCAACTTTTACACTCTTCTTCTCTTTTAAATATGCTTTAGTTTTAGGTCATTTATTCGTGCATGCATATGAGCATAGGTTGTTGGAAGCAGTCAGGTAAAATCTTGAATGCTTTACTGCTTAGAAATTTCTTCTGCCAGCTACACTAAATCATCACTCTCAAGTTCAAAGTTCTAAAGATCCCTAGGGCAGGGGCACAATGCCTCCAAGTTCTTTGCTAACCCATAACAAAAGTGACCTGTGTTCTACTTCCCAACAAGATCTTCATTTCCATATAAGACCTCCTCAGCTTGGACTTCATTGTCTATAGCACTAACAGTATTCTTTTCATAACCATTCAACAAGTCTCTTGGAAGTTCCAAATTTTCCCTAATGTTCCTGTCTTCTTTTGAGACTTCCAAACTGTTCCTGCCTCTGCCTGTTAACCAGTTCCAAAACTGTTTTCACATTTTCAGGTATCTTTATAGCAATATCCCACTTCTGGTACCAATTTACTATATTAGCCCATTCTTGCATTGCTACAAGAAAATATCTGACACTGGCTAATTTATAAAGAGGTTTAACTGGTTCATGGTTCTGCAGGCTGTACAGGAAGCATAATTCTGGCATCTACTCAGCTTCTAGGGAGGCCTCAGGAAACATAATCGGGGAAGCAGGCTCCTATTACATGACCAGAGCAGGAAGAAGAAAGAGACAGGGTATTGTTCTCTATGCAGTATCCAGATGCTTAGAAAAAAAATAAAAAATAAAAATAAAGAAAGAAAGAGACAGGGGAGATACTACACACTTTGAAACAACCAGATCTCATGAACTCTATCACAAAAATGGCACTAGGGGGATGGTGCTAAACCATTCATGACAACCTGCTCCCATCATCCAATTGCCTCCCACCAGGCCCCACCTCCTGCACTGGGGGTTACAATTTGACATGGGATTTGGGATTCAAACCATGTCAGTACCCTTTAACTAATTTCCCCAAGTGGTAATATCTTGGAAAACTATACCATGAATGAGTGTGGAATTTTATCAAAAGCTTTTTCTGCATCAAATTCCTGTCATCAAGAATTATAAGATTATTATTTTCTTCTTTATCTTGTTAATATGGTAGATTACACTGATTAATTGATTTTCAAATATTAAAACAACTTTGCATCCCTGAGGAAAAACCTACGTGATTGTGGTATATAATGATTCTTCTATATTGCTGTTTTCTTTTCTTTTTTTAAATCTTTTTTAGAGATGGGGCCTTGCTATGTTGACCAGGCTAGTCTTAAGCTCCTAGACTCAATTGATCCTCCCATCTTAGCCTCTCAAAGTGCTATGATTACAGACATGAGCCACCATGCCCAGCCTATATATTGCTATGTTTTATTTGCTAATTTTTATTTTTATTTTATTTATTTATTTATTTAGAAACAGAGTCTCACTCTGGAATGCAGTGGTGCAATTTCAGCTCACTGCAGCTTCTGCCTCCTGGGTTCAAGCAATTCTCCTGTCTCAGCCTCCCAAGTAGCTGGGATTACAGGCATGCACCACCATGTCAACTAATTTTTATATTTTTAGTAGAGACGGGGTTTCACCGTGTTGGCCAGGCTGGTCTCAAACTCCTGACCTCAGGTGTCTGCTTACCTCGGCCCCAGAAGTGCTGGGATTACAGGCATGAGTCACCACACCCTACCACTATTTGCTAATTTTTAAAAGTTTTTTGCATCAATATCCATGAGGAATATTGGTCTACAGTTTTCTTTCTTTGTACAGTCTTTATCTAGTTTTAGTAACAGGATAATACCAACCTCATAAAATAAATTGAAAAGTTTTCCCTCCTCTATTTTTCTAGAAAAGATTGTATAGAATTAATTTTATTTAAAGTTTTGTAGAATTCTCCAGTGAAATCATCTGAACCTGGAGATTTCTTATTTGGGATTTTTAAAATTTATAAATTTGACGGTATTAATAGTTATAAGACTTCAAATTAACTCCTTCATATTGGGTGAGTTGTGGTTATTGTTTTCCTTGAAATTGCTTCATTTCATCTAAGTTACACCTACTCTCTTGTGATTAATGTATGCATGATACATCATTTTCTCACCTTGTACTGTAAACCTGACTATATCATTATATTTGAAAGAAAGTTTTTGTATACAGTACATAGTTGCCTAATATTTTCAAATCTATTTAGCCCATCTCTGTCTTTTAATTTTATCTAGACCATTTACATATAATTATTGTTATCTTTAGGACTTAAGTCTGCCACTTTATTTTTTGTTTGTTTTTTCTGCTTTTCATCTCTTTTCTCTTTTTTGTCTTCCTGAAGTTACTTGACTTTTTAAAAAGAAATTCCTTTTTAATTCACCTATAGGGTATTTGAGAGTATCTCTTTGTATAGCTTTTCTAGTGGCTGCTCTAGGTATTACATTATATATACATAACTTACCACAGTCTACTTACGTTGTCATTGTACCAGTTCAAGTGAAGTACAGAGACGTACCTCCCTTTATGTGCCTTTTCTCCCCCCATTTACAACAAAATTGTTTCTTATGTTCCCTTTATATACATCAGAACCACTAAGATGGTGCTATACTTTTTACTTTAATCATCAAACATTAATTTGAAAATTTGGCCCAGCACAGTGGCTCATGCCTGTAATCCTAGCACTTTGGGAGGGATTGCTTGAGCCTATGAGTTTAAGACCACTGCCAGAAACCTGGCAAAACCCTGTCTCTACAAAAAATAAAAAAATTAGTTAGGCATGGCAGTCCTAGCTACTCTGGAAGGTGAGGTGGGAGGATTGGGCACAGGAGGTCGAGGCTGAAGTGAGCCATGATTGCATTACTGCACTCCAACCTGGGCAACAGAGCAAGACCCTGTCTTGACAAAGAAAGAATAAAGAGAGAGAGAGAGAGAGAGGGAAGGAAGGAAGGAAAAAAGGAAGAAAAGAATGAAGGGAAGGGAAGGGCAGAGCAGGGAAGGGCAGGACAGGGAGATTTTAAAAAGAGAAGGAAAGCCTATTATATTTTTACATATTTTTGCTTACTGTGTTATCTCTTCCTTCCCAATGTTCGAATTTTCTTTAGTTTATTATTTCCTTTCTGTTTAAAGAATTTCCTTTAGTGATTTTTTTAGGATAGTTCTACTAGTGACAAATTCTCTTACTTTTTTTTTTTTTTTTTTTTTTTTTGAGACAGGATTTTCCTGTGTAACTAAGGCTGGAGTGCAGTGGCACAATCACAACTCACTGCAGCCTCCATCTCCTAGGCTCAATTGATCCTCCTGCCTCAGCCTCCTGAGTAGCTGGGACTACAGGCATGCATCACTATACCCAGCTAACTTTTCTATTTTTTTTGCAGAGACAGAGTCTCACTACGTTGACCAGGCTGGTATCAAACTCTTGGGCTCAAGTGATCCCTGCCTCTGCTGCCCAAAGTGCTGGGATTACAGGTGTGAGCCACCATGCCTGGCCTCTTACTTTTCCATGATGAGCAATTGTCTTGACTTTTTCCTTCATTCCAGGATATTTTGCTGAGAATAGGATTCTGAGTTGGCAGTTTTTTACTTGTAGCAGTTGGAAATATTATGCTACTCCCTTTTGGCCAATGTGGTTTTCGTTTTTTCTTTCTAGGCTTTATGGGGTATAATTGACAAATACAAATTATAATTTAAGGCATACAACATGATGTTTTGATATATGTATACATTGGGAAATTATTATCACAATCTTGCTAAGTAACATATCTATCACCTCACATAGTTACCTTTCTACGTGTGTAGTAGGAATACTTAAAATCTACTCTCTCAACAAATTTTAAATATAAAAGCTTTATTTATTTATTTATTTGTTGAGACAGAGTCTCGCTCTGTTGCCCAGGTTGGAGTGCAGTGGCGCAATCTTGGCTCACTGCAACCTCCTCTTCTTGGGTTCAAGCTATTCTCCTGCCCCACTCTCCCAAGTAGCTGGGATTACAGGTGCCTACCACCATGTCCAGCTAATTTTTGTATTCTTAGTAGAGATGAGGTTTCACCGTGTTGGCCAGGCTGGTCTCAAACTCCTGACCTCAAGTGATCCACTCACCTCGGCCTCTCGAAGTGCTGGGATTACAGATATGAGCCACTGCACCTGGCCACAAGACATTATTATTATCTGTAGTAACCATGATATACATTAGGTCTCCAGAACTTATTTGCTATGATCTAAACCTCTGTCCTATCCAAAACTCACATTGAAATTTAATTTCTATTATAACCATATTAAGAAGTGAATGCCGGGCGCGGTGGCTCAAGCCTGTAATCCCAGCACTTTGGGAGGCTGAGGCGGGTGGATCACGAGGTCAAGAGATCGAGACCATCCTGGTCAACACGGTGAAACCCCGTCTCTACTAAAAATACAAAATATCAGCTGGGCATGGTGGCACGTGCCTGTAATCTCAGCTACTCAGGAGGCTGAGGCAGGAGAATTGCCTGAACCCAGGAGGCGGAGGTTGCGGTGAGCCGAGATCATGCCATTGCACTCCATCCTGGGTAAAAAGAGCGAAACTCCCCCCCAAAAAAAAAAAAAAAAAAAAAAAAAAAGAAGTGAGACATTGAGCCAAATGTGGTGGCTGACGCCTGTAATCCCAGCACATTGGGAGGCCAAGGTGGATGGATCACTTGAGCTCATGAGTTTGAGTCCAGCCTGGCCAACATTGCAAAACCCCATCTCTAAAAAAAAAAAAAAAAAAAACAATAGCCAGGAGTGGTGACATGCACCTGTAATCCCAGTTTCCAGGGAGGCTGAGGTGGGAGGATGGTTTGAGCCCTGGAGTTTGAGGCTGCAGTGAGATATGACTGTGCTGATGTACTCCAGCCTGGGTGAAAGAATAAGACCTTGTCTCAAAAAAATAAAAATAAAATGTTTTAAAACTTCCCTCTTAGAACACTTTTACTTCATCTCATAAGTTTTCCCATTTTCATTTGTCTCAAGATATTTAAAATTTCCCTTTGATTTCTTCTTTGACTCATTGGTTGTTGAAGAATGTGTGGTTTAATTTCCACATCTTTGTGAATTTTTCAGTTTTCTTCCTGTTACTAATTACTACTTTCATATCACTGTTGTCATTAAAAAAATGCTTTATATGATTCCTATCTTCTTAAATTTGTTAAACTTTGTTTTGTGAGGCCAGGTATGGTGTCACATGCCTGTAATCCTAGCACTTCAGGAGGCTGAGGTAGGACGATTGTTTGAGCCCACATGTTCAAAACCAGTCTGAGTAACATAGAAAGACCTTGTCTCTACAAAAAAATAAAAATTATGTTAGCCAGGCACAGTGGCATGTGCCTGTAGTCTTAGCCATTCAAGAGGCTAAGGCGGGAAGATTACTTGAGCCCAGAACGTTGAGGCTGCAGTGAACTATGGCTGTGCCACTGCACTCCAGGCTAGGTGACAGAGTGAGACTGTCTCAAAAAAAAAAAAAAAAAAAGGAAAATAAAAGTCTTGTTTGTGGCCTAACATATCATCTATCCTGGAGAATGCTCCATATGCACTTGAGAAGAATGTGTATGCTGTTACTGTTGAATAGAAGGTGCTGTATATGTCTATGAAGTTGATTTGGTCTTAATTGTAGTTCAAGTCCAAAGTTTCCTTATTGATTTTCTCTCTGGATGATCTATCCATTGTTGAAAGTGGGATATTGAAGTCCACTATTAGTATTGTATTGCTATTTCCCCATTTAGATCTGTTAATATTTGCTTTATATATTTAGGTACTCCACGGTTGGCTGCATATATATTTATAATTATTGTATCTTAATCATAAATTGACCCATTTATCACTATAAAATGACCTTCTTTGCCTCTTGATACAGGTTTTGATATAACCTGTATATATTTATGTCTACCCCACTCTCTTTTGGTTTCTGTTTACATGGAATATCTTTTTCATCCCTTCACTTTCAATCTGTGTGTGTCCTTAAAGGTGAAGTGAATATCTTGTAGGCTGCCTAGAGTTGAGTTACCTTTCTTTATTCATTCAGTTCCTCTATGTCTTTTGACTGAAGAATTTAATTCATTTACATTTAAAGTAATTATTGATCAATAAGAACTGACTATTGCTATGTTATTAATTTTCTGACTATTTTATATATTCTTTATCCTTTTCTTGCTCTTTTGTTGTCTTCTATGGTGATTTGGTGATTTTCTGTATTGTTATGCTTTGATTCCTTTCTCCCTGTTGTTTGTGTATCTACTATAGGTTTTTGCCTTTGGCTGCTATAAGACATACATAAAATCTTATAGTTATTACAGTTTATGTTAGTATGATAATAACACCACTTCAATCACATATAGAAACTCCACACTTTACTTCCAAACCCCATATTTTAAGTTCCTGATGTCACAATTTACATCTTTTGATATTCTGTATTCATTAACAAAATATTAAAGCTATAGTTTGTTTTTGTTTTTGTTTTGAGACAGAGTCTCACTCTATCACTCAGGCTGAAATTCAGTGGCATGATCACAGCTCACTGCAGCCTTGACCTCCTGGGCTCAAGCAATCCTACCACCTCAACCTCCTGAGAAGCTATGATAACAAGTGCACAGCATCGTCTGACTAATTTTTAAATTTTTTGTAAAGACAGGATCTCACTATGTTGCCCAGGCTGGTCTCAAATTCTTGGACTCAAGCAATCCTCCTGCCCTGGCCTCCCAAACTGCTGGGATTACAAATATGAGTTATCATGCCCAGATATAGTTATTTGTAATATTTTTGTCTTTTAACCTTTATACTAGGGTTGTAATTTATACACCATCATTACAATATTAGAGTAATCTGAATGTGACTATATACTTAATTATACCAGTAAGTTTTATACTTTCATGTTTTCATGTTATTAATATGCATCTTTTCATTTTAGCTTGAAGAACTCCCTTTAGCATTTCTCGTAAGGCAGGTCTGGTAGTAATAAACATCCCTCAGCTTTTGCTTGAAAAGGTCTTTATCACTCCTTCATTTCTGAAGTACAGCTTTACCAGGTAAAGTATTCTTGGTTGACAATTTTTAATATTGTATTCCACTCTCTCCTGGCCTGCCAGGTTTCTCTTGAGAAATCTGCTGATAGATGCTTTCAGATAATTACATTGATGTACATATCTCTCTCCAGATTTGCAAAGTTTTCAGCCTCATTTTATTACCTAAGCTTTCTATATCTTTCTCCCTCTCTTCACCTTATAAGACTCCCATAATGTGAATGTTAGTTCGTTTAATGGTGTCACATAATTTGATGGTGTCCCATAATTTCCACGGGATCACTTCATTCTTTTTCATTCTATTTTCTTTTTTCTCCTCCAACTGGATATTTTCAAATGACCTGTCTTCAAGTTCATAGATTTATTTATGCTGCTTGATCAAGTCTGCTGTTGATGCTCTCTATTGCATTTTTTATTTATTGTATTCTTCAGCCTCAGAATTTCTGTTTGGTTCATTTTATGATTTCTACTTCTTTATTGAACTTCTGATTTGGTTATATATTAGTTTTCTGATTTCATTGAGTTGTCTGTGTTCTCTTGCATCTCACTGAGCTTTCTTAAAACAATTATTTTAAATTATTTGTCTAGCAATTCACAGATCTCCATTTCTTTGGGGTTTGTTACTGGAATATTATTGTGTTTCTTTGGCAGTGTTATTTCTTGATTTTTCATGTTCCCTGAAGTCTTGCATTGTTGCGGCATCTTCACATTTGAAGAATTGGTCACCTCCTCCACTCTTTACCAGCTGGCTTTAGGAAAGAAATGCCTTCACTCAACAGCCTGGCTAGGTATTCTGAGGCTCTCTCAGGCCTTTTCTATGTAGATGTGTTTCCTCCACATCTCATTTCCTCTTAGGGGTGGCAAGATTCTTAAGATTGTATGCTTTCTCTATATTTTGCAAAGTTAGCCAAAACTGAAGGTCTCTCCTTTGTTTTCCTTAGGTCAGTGCCCTGAGATGTTCAAGTTCATGTCCTTTCTCCCAGTCCCACAGATTTCAGCTGGCTGTTTACATGAGATATTTGCACCTGCTGTCTGCAGGGGCATGCCCAGGAATCCAGGTTGAGGGAGGAGTTGCAGAGCATTTGGGGTACCCACAAGCCCAGTAGGGACCACACACAAAGCATCCCAAGTGGGTTCATGGGGAGGCTTCTTGATGAGGTCCACAGTGTTCAGCAGAATCCCCAGACTCTCTTTCCTACTCCTAGCCTCTGCCACCCACTTAGCTTTGCTGATCACCTCAGTATTCTGGGTTGTGCAAGAGAGAAGTGAGCAGCATCCCACATGGCTGTGAGAACCAAATGCTCAGTCACTATACTCTCACTTTCCCCTACTGACAAAATCACAGGTCTATAGGGGTTCCTCTTGGGACTGAGTTGTGCTGCCTTGGGGGAGGGGTGACAAGAGCCTAATATTGTTCTTCTTACCCTCCTGAATGAGTCTGTTCTTGGATTTGTTGCTCAGTGGTGCACTGGAACTTGTCCATTGGATTTCTGGACTCCCACAAAGGTATTCTCATTGTGGATAGGTGTTGAAATTGACATTTCTGCAGGAGATGAATGCAAAAACCCCTATGCTGACATCATTCTACCTCCATGGTTTCTGATGCGAAACCAACTGTATTAGTCTGTTCTCATGCTGCTAATAAAGATATACCGGAGACTGGGTAATTTATAAAGGAAAGAAGATTAATGGGTTCACAGTTCCACATGGCTGGGGAAGCCTCACAACAATGACAGAGGGCGAAAGAAGAGTAAAGTTACATCTTACATGGTGGCAGGCAAGAGTGCATGTGCAGGGGAATTCCCGTTTATAAAACCATCAGCTCTCATAAGACTTATTCACTATCATGAGAACAGTATGGGGAAACTGCCTCCATGAGTCAATTATCTCCACCTGGCCACACCCTTGACACATGAGGATTATTACAATTCAAGGTGAGATTTGAGTTGGGACATAGACCCAAACCATATCACCAAGTACTATTCAAATTATTTTCTCATATAGTTAAGGTAATGCTTTTTTTTTTTTTAATCTTTCTGCTTTCAAGATTTTTTACATTATCTTTAGTTTTCAGTAGTTTATGTATCTTATCATGGATTTCTTTGGGTTTACCCTATTTGGAGATCACCCAGCTTCTTGAATTATAGGTTTATGTCTTTTGACAAATAATGGTGAAAAGAGGCAGAGGCAGGAGACAGAGGTAGCAGTAAGCCAAGATCACACCACTGCACTCTGGCCTGGATGACAGAGTAAGACCCCCATCTCAAAAAAAAAAAAGAAGCAACTGCTCATCTCATCAAGTTTTATAATGATACTGTAGCAATTCAGTCATACCTTCAGGCTCCACCTCTAATTCTAGTTCTCTTCCTATTTCTACCACATCTGCAGTTACTTCCTCCACTAATGTCTTGACACCCTCAAAGTCATCCATGAGATTAGACGAGGGTTAAAATCAAATTCTTCCAAACTCCTGTTAATGCTGATATTTTTACCTTCTCCTATGAATCACAAATGTTCTTAATGGCATCTAGAATGATGAATCCTTGACAGATTTTCACTTACTTTGCCCAGATCCATCAGAAAAATCACTATCTCTGGCAGCTATAGCCTCTCAAAATGTATTTCTTGATTGCTAAGACTTAGAAGTTGAAATTGCTCCTTAATTCATTGGTTGAAGAATGGCTGTTGTACTGGAAGTTATGGAAACATTAGTCTCTTTGTACATATCCATCAGAGTTCTTGCATAACTAGGTGCATTGTCAGCGGGCAGTGATATTTTAAAAGGAATCTTTTTTTCCGAGCAGTAGGTCTCAATAGTGGGCTTAAAATATTCAGTAAACTATGCTGTAAACAGATGTGTTGTCTTGCAATTTTTCCATATAAAGTAAAGACAAAAAAAAAAAAATGTCACCCAGGATTTGTTTTTCCATTTAAAGAGCACAGGCAGAATAGATTTAACATAAATCATTTTTTCATTGCCTCTCTTCAGCATAGCATAATTCCTTTTTTTTTTTTAAAGACAGTGTCTTGCTATGTTGCCCACACAGGAGTGTAGTACCATTATCATAGTTCACTGCAGCCTCTTAACTCCTAGGCTCAAGTGATCCTCCTGCCTCAGCCTCCCAAGTAGGTGGGACGACAGGTATGTGCCACCATATATTGCTAATTTTTTTTTTAATTTTTGTAGAGATAGGGTCCTGCTATGTTGCCCAGGCTTGTCTTGAACTCCTGACCTCAAGTGATCCTCTCGCCTCAGCCTCCCAAAGTGCTAGAATTATAGGCATGATCCCACCATGCCTGGCCTAGCATAATTCTTAAGGGCCCTAGAATTTTCAGAAAGGTGAATGAACACTGGCATCTACTTAAAGTCATCAGCTACATTAGTCCCTAAGAAGAGAGTCAGCCTGCCTTTCCTTTGAAGCTTTGAAACCAGATGTTGACTTCTCTTTTCTATCTATGAAAGTCCTATATGGCATCTTCTTCCATTAGAAGGCCATTTCATCTATGTTGAAAATCTGTTGTTTAGTGCAGCCACTTTCACCAATTGTCTTAGCTTGATCTTCTGAGTATCTTGCTGCAGTTTCTTGATCAGCACTTGCTGCTTCACCTTGCACTTTTATGTTTTGGAGATGATGGCTTCTTTCCTTAAACCTCATGAACCAGCCTCTCCTGGCTTCCAACTTTCCTTCTGCAGCTTCCTTACCTCTCTCAGCCTTCATAGAATGAAGAGAGTTAGAGCGTTGCTCTGGATTAGGCTTTGGCTTCAGGGTATGTCGTGGCTTCTTTGATCTTCTACCTAGACTAGTAAACTTTCTTCATATCAGCAATAAGGCTGTTTCACTTTCTTATCATTCATATGTACACTGGAACAGCACTTTTAAATTCCTTCAAGATCTTTTCTTTTGCATTTACAACTTGGCTAACTATCTGTTGGAAGGGGCCTAGCTTTCAGCCTAACTTGGCTTTTGACGTGGCTTTCTCACTAAACTATATTATTTCTAGCTTTTGATTTAAAGTGAAAGGTATGTGGCTCTTCCTTACACTTGAACACTTTGAAGCCAGTGAAATTTCAGGCCTAATATTGAAATTGGCCTAATATTGAAATCGGCCTAATTTCAGTATGGTGTCACAGGGAATAGGGAAGTCCAAGGAGGGGGAAAGAGACAGGGAAATGACCAGTTGGTGGAGCAGTCAGAACACACACAACATTCATCAATTACATTCACCATCTTACAGGGGTGTGATTCATGGTGCCTAAAACAATTACAATAATAGCATCTAAGATCATTGATCACAGAGCACCAGAATAGATACAATAAGAATGAAAAAGTTTGAAATACTGTAAGAATTACCAAATTGTGACACAGAGACACAAAGTGAGCACATGAACACATGCAGTGGAAAACATGGTTCTGATAGACTTGCCTGATTCAGGGTTGCCACAAATCTTCAATTTGTAAAAAACATAACCCATTCAAAACTCAATAAAGCAAAAGATAATAAAATGAGATATGCCTATACACAAATTCAACTTCACAAAAATTAAAAACTTTTGTGCCTCAGACAGCATCATCAACAAAGTAAAAAAGCTAACCTACACAATGGGAAAAAATATTTATGAGTAGTATATTATATTAGAGATTTATATCCAGAATATGTAGAGAACTACTAAACTCAACAGCAAAAAAAATCAGACAAAGTAATTCAAAAATAAACAGAGGACTTGAATAGACATTTTTCCAAAAAAAATATATTATAAACAGTCAATAAGCATATGAAAAGACACTCGACATCACTAATTATTAGGGAAATGCAAATCAAAACCACAATGAGATACTACCTCACATCCATTAGGGTGGCTATTATTTTTTAAAACCCAGAAAATAAAAAATTATTGGCAAGGATGTGAAGAAATTGAAACCCATGTGCACTGTTAGTGAATAGTAAAATTATAGGGCCATTGTGGAAAACATTAAGGCAGTTTCTCAAAAAATTAAAAGTAGAATTACTGCATGACCTAGCAATTCTTCTGCATATATACACCAAAGAATTAAAAGGAGGAAAAGAGATATATTTTTTGTACACCCATATTAAGAGCAGCATTATTCACAACAGCTAAAACATGGAAGCAATCTAACTGTCCACTGATGAATAAATGGATAAACAAAATGTGGTATATCCATACATACAATGGAATATTATTCAGCCTTAAAAAGGAAGAAAATTCTGAGACATGCTACAACATGGATGAACCCTGAATATGTAATGCTAACAGAAATAAACCACAAATAGACACAAAAAGTCACAAAATAATAAATACTGTATGATTCCACCTCTACAAAGTACCTAGAGTAGTAAAGTTCATAGAGACAGACAGTAGAAAGGTAGTTGTCAACAGCTGGGAGAGGGAAGGCTGGAAAGTTACTGTTTAAAGGTTATAGAGTTTCAGGTTTGTAAGGTTAAAATAATTTTGAAGATGGATGCAGGTAATGGCTGCAAAACAATATGAATACTTAACAGTACTCAACTGTATACTACTTAAAATGATTGATTGTAAATTTAAAATTATTTATATTTTACCAAAATTAAAAAGTTGTATTAACGAAAGATAGTTAATCCCCAAATGTCTAGAAATTAATTATATACTTTAAAATAAAAGGAGAAAACATAATGTAATCATGTGATCTCTACCAGTATGTTACGCTTTTTACTTGACAAACAACAAGTATAAAGACATTTTTTAGTGAAATGGTGCTTTATGCAGTAGAGGCCTTCTTATTCCATACAACTTGGATTTGAATGTGGTTGATTTATCAAAAAAGGCTGTTAATTGTTACATAATAGGGAAGGAGACTTTTTGGTTTTACATGAATAGTCTATGAAAAAATAAATAAGAAACTGACATCATTTCCTATCTTTAGGGAAAGGAATGAGAAAAATGCCTACTCAGAATGATAAAATTTATAACAATATTTTGATAGTGATAGCAACTGGATAATATTTACGATAATATTTTTTAATATTTAAAGTTAAAGCAGTGTAATCTTACACATTGTCAATTAAAGTATACAATTATGCATTTATCTGGCCATCTTTGCATCTACATCTAAGGCCGTTTTTCCCCTCAAAGTTCCACTGTTTGGATTTCTACATAGTTTTTCCTAGAGAAAAACTAAACCTTTAATTAATCATCTGTAAGTTCTAGTTTTGTATTCTTTAAGGCATAGTGAGAATTTTAAAATAATCTACAAACAGAATCCTTTACCTATGAAAATTCTTTCTGGATATTTGTGATTTTTTTCTCCAATCCTTTCTAGTTTTCATAGAACTCTAAATTCAAAATAGTATTTTTGCTACTTGTCTTTATTGAGGCTTTCTAAAACATTCTATCTAGTTAACATAGAAAATATTTATTTCTGGTTATAGTTATATTTTATTATTTATATGATCTTTAAACGAATTATTAAAATGACAAGTACAACTGACATGAGCAGATTTGGGAACATACACAACTGATTTGTAGTAGCATCCAGCACCACTGGTGGACATATTGAGGTAGTAAGCCAGTCACAAGTGTTTATTGTTCTAAAGGTATCACTCCATATGTTTTACAGAGAGAATGAAAAAATATTTAAATGGAGGTTGATTAACAGAGCTTCTACTGTACATTTGGAGATCATGATATTTTCACTAATAACCAAGTTTATTAAATGAGAGTCTCACTGGGCCTGCTTTAATGAATAATGATACACATTAGTAACTAGCAAGATGAATTTAAAAACAGACAAAATGCTGGAGGCTTTAGACAAAGTAAGGTATTTTAAATAGTTTAAATATATTCACTGCAATCTTGTTTATGCTGTTCACCTGATAAACAAAGACCAAAAAGAACAAACCAGAGACCAAAAAGAACAACACAACCTGATTGTAAAGATTTAGTCAGGTTGCTTTGGCCAGGCATGGTGGCTCAGGCCTGTAATCCCAGAACTTTGGGAGGCCAAGGCAGGCGGATCACTTGAGGCCGGGAGTTCAAGACCAGCCTGGCCATCATGGTAAAACCTTGTCCCTACTAAAAATACAAAAATCAGCCGAGTGTGGTGGTGCATGCCTGTAATCCCAGCTACTCAGGAGGCTGAGGCAGGAGAATCGCTTGAACCCAGGAGGCAGAGGCTGCAAAGAGCTGAGATTACACCACTGCACTCCAGCCTGGGTGACAGAGCAAGACCCTATCTAAAAAAAAAAAAAAAAAAAAAAGATTTAGTCATTTTCATCCACCATAGTGAAAGGATCCTTGGCCTTCAGTAGTCTGTAGCTTCTTGAGGGTAAGGGCCAGTTATGCCTTGCTCACCATAACATTCTCACCATCTAGCACACCATCTGACATGAGGTGGGTGATCAAATACTGCTTAAATGCATGCATGGATAAATGGGTGAATGAAAGGTTGCAGAAAAATGTAGAACCTATATTCAACACTAGAGTGTCTACTCACTCCAGACATAGACAACTGTGAATTAAGAAAGGATCAGGAGCAGAGCCAGGGCAGGGCAAGAATAAGGCAGGGGTAGTTCAGCCTGGATAACAGATCAGCTGGACTCTGCTAGCCTTATCCTGGCTTTACATGGTACAATGTGGACCCAACAGCCTTGCTACCCACTACCCCAATCCTCCCTGAAGCAGTCCCTCACCAATCCTTATTTATATCACTAAAGGTGTCCAGAACCACTTTCCAACTACATATGGGGTCAGTTAGACTGAGGCAGAAACCACAATAAACAAATTGTGACATACATCTGGCCCTGGATTCATACAGTTGTTTCTCTCACCTGAAGTTCTCCCCT